AGCAGGTGTTTTGAATCCTCGTGGTCCCAACAGCGGAAGGGTACCAGGCACGGGTAAGCCTTTTACGAGATCACCGAGTGTTCAACACTCGGCTGGAAGAATAAAAGGGAGGCAATTCAAGCACTCCCAGTCGTGCAAATAGGCAACAATAAGCCGTCACGTAGAACCTCCCGATAATAATCGGCCAATACACAAAGTCTCTTGGCCTTGCCGGATGAACCCTCGCTACAGAGCTTCGAGTTCACCGACAGGCATAACACACTCAAACAAGCTTGACCTGACGCTTACCTTGAAGCCGGACGTCGCTCTGTGTGCTTGAGTGGAAATTCTGTTCTGTATTTAAGCTTACCCTTTCGGGTCTATTCCTAATAAGAAGTCCTAATCAAGTATACAAATATCAAGTGAACAATGATCCGTTATGGATCTTCTTGCATGCCAAGCGTCGTCTGCACCGTCGCATGAGCATCTTTAACGGTCCGCGCCCTGTCCCAGACGGTGAACGTGTCTTCCAAAGGTCGCTGAGTATTCCGCGAACTCATCCCAACCGCCACTGAGGGTTCGTACCGTAGATGGTCCGCTGAATGCGAATCCGGCCAGTCCATTATTAATTATAAGGACAGACTGGATTCAGTGACATAGGGCCGTATCCGATACTTGTTGAAAACTCGGAGGTGACGCCGTCGAGTCCCTTGCACCTTGGCGTATCCGTACATCACCTGACCGAGGGTTCGTTGCTTGAACAATCGAGGACCTTCCAGGCCTTCTGCTGTGGAGCATAGCCAACAAAAACCCCGCGTACAGATCGATAGTCCAGCTTCTGTCTCTTGTTCGAACGGGCTCCACCAGCAATGCTTCTCACACTTGAAGTCGGCAGCTTCGTTGGCAGGTACACCTAAGCTAGAGACACGAATACACGAAGGTGAGAAACGTCCGGCGGAAACCCATACCAATCATTAAATGGAGTTCGCTGAGTAAGGGTGTTCATCGTCCGATTCTGCAGATACGCCACTGCCAAGAGAGCTTCCCCCCACAACTGCTTCGGCGAACTGCTGTCGATAAGCATTATGCGAATCTTATTAAATAGGACGCGAAAGCGAACCTCCGCCATATCGTTCTGCTTCGGCGTGTGTGTGGTCGTGGTGTGTCGAGCAATCCCATTTGCTTCTTAGTACGCCTTGAATTCATCCGAAATGCAAACTTCTTCAACGGTCGATTGTGGTGACTTTCTACCGCTGCCTTGTGCCGCACAACACAATCACCGAACTAACTTCGCTTATCCAGTAGGTAGACATGACAGTAGCGATAATGTACATCGACGAAAAGAAGAACGTAGCACTGCCCGTACAAGGATGGTATATCCACTGGCCCGCAAATATCGCTGTGGATGGCATCATTACACCCCACCACTCCGCGTCTCGGTGCCGAGGGGATAGTACTTCGTTTCTTTGTGCCCAGCTGACACGCATCACAGAGGCTATTGTCCCCAGCATTAGAGTGTACCACTTTCAGTCCAGTTACCATTTTCTTGGCCTCCATTTGGCAAGGGTGGATTTTGCGGCATGGCCAAAACGGTGATGAAGAAGATCAGCTGTTAGTTAAGGGAAAACATAGAGAACAAATTGCGCCTTGTTCAATGATTTGAGCACACACACACCATTCTGACTCTCGCTGATCAGACACATCCCGTCGCGCTGAAGCACCACCTTTCCTGGAAACATGTGGGAGTAAAATTCCACTCCTTTCTGAGCCAATTGCGTCACAGAGATGAGGTTCTTACGAAGTCCTCGTAGGAATAGCACATCCAAGAGAACCAGCTCATGCAGCTTGTTCTCCGCATCCCGGACGTGAGCCTTCACAGTTCCAACACCTTCCACTGGCTCCGTTGCATTGTTCGCCACCGTCACAGATCCTCCGCAAACCGTCACCGAGTCAAACATGTCACAAACATGGCAGATGTGCTGCGAACACTCGTTGTCCCCAATCCTCATGTCATCATAACTAGCGGTTCCACGCGTCATCGCTGCAGCTTCGGCTGCTTCCGCTGTAGTTGGTAGGCCACATTGGCCATCGGCTTCCACATCCAGTGCTTGGTACCAGAAGGCGCTCAATAACGTAATTTGCCAGTTGAGTGCCTGATTTTGGGCATCTTCAAAAGGTGCATCTAGCGAAAAAGGCACCAATTGCTGTTTGAATTGGGTCTTTGGAAAGCAAAAAGGGAAAACCAACGCATCTAATACTTATTTTTGCGTTCTTTACAAACGAACGTGTGAGGTGCAATGGCTAGTCAAAAGTGAGGATGGAATTTGAGGCTATCAGTTTTGTGCACGGTTCTGGCTATCGACTAAAGCTTACCCTGAAGCAGCATCTCCTTGGTTATAAGACGCCCTACAAAGTCCACGGTGCGTCGTGAGCGTTTGCCTTTAGTGCGAGGTGCTGGTGGCAGCTGTAATATACTGCTACGTATATCTTCTTGAATTTCACGCTTTCGCTTGAGCCATGCCGCCCTTCCAATGTCTCCGCGTGCTCCACCGCTCGCAAACAGTCGTAAACGAGCCTGCATACTAGGCAAGGATGGTGGATAGATTCCCGTGGTTCTGAAGCCATCTACAGCGTTTTCAGGGCTTGTCATCACCGCGTTACGATACGCATGGCACGCTATCTCGATGGCATCCGATTTTGCAATAGTACAGTCCGAACTGTGCAGCATTTTGGCTTGTAAAGTAGATTTCACCATGGTCTTGAAAGGCTTGAAAACAGCCACGTCAAGAGGCTGATAGAGGTGAGTGGCATTTGGAGGGAGGCCGACGAGCAAAATTCCTCTGTGTGACCAAACGGAAACTTCACCTGAAATAAATTAACCCGTCAAAATTTTATAGAACAAAATCCTTGTTAATAATTAAAATAATATCAATAAAATATAAAAGCACTTACCAATTTCGACATGAGTCGAACTGTTGTCCAGGACCAGCACCACGGGACGCTTCACGTTGTTGCTTGTCAAATACGAGTCAAACGTCTTCATCCAGAGCTTAAATATACCGGTATTACTGAAACCTTTGGGTGCACCAGTCACAGTTGTGTTGTCAATGGATATGGCAGCCAATTCCTCTCGATAAATCCTCTGCCCCGGCAAAATAAGCAAGGGAGGTACTGCGTCGCCTGCCGCATTCACAGCAGCTACCACGGTCATGTGAAAATTTGCCTTAGACTCTTGTGTCCACACATTGGACGACCCTTTCAACGCCACAACCTTCCGCGTAGATGCCTTCGGCATAAACGCCGTTTCGTCCATGTTGAAAACGCGACTCTTATCCAGCTTATGCTCGATAACAAGCCGCGCCATAGTGAAGAAGAGGCCACGCACAGCCCCTGCCTCAACGTTATTGCGGACGCGGGCGATCTGCTGAGCGACCCGGGGTGTCAGCTGTGGGTGCCTCCCTAAGAAACGTCGGTACCAGCCCGCCGTGAGCGGCGTCGCTGGTTCTGTCGAGCGAGTTGGCATGGGCAGCGTTGCAATGTAAACTTCGTTAGCCTTGGCCAATATGGCAGACGGCCCAACAGGTAAGCCAACTCGCTGCATAACACACACCCATTCCACCAGGTCATCTTCTAGCTCCATAGGCAACGTCGGCTTGGTCCCACGACGACTACCCGTCAGATCCTTTCCTTCTCTCTGCTCTTTCGCCTTCTTGATCAACGTTCTCAACGGGATGTTGGTCATGCGTGACACAACAGCATATTTCTCCCCTTTAGTAACTCTTTTGAGAGCTATGAGGAGGTCTTCAAGCGTGTAGGTTCCCCCTCGGTGCAGCGTTGTAGACTCCACGTTTTCGTCGTCTGCTCCCATGACTTCGTGGCTTGTGAATGAATGGGCTGCGGTTGGTCAGAATCGAATACCCTTTTAAAATGATGAGTCGGAATAATGTGGATTATATTCAGTTGGTTGTGGAAAAGCGTGCACTGATGTGACTTAAATGAGATCAACCAATCCAAATGCACATTTTTGATTTTAAGCAAAAAAACTGGCAGAAATTCTGCATCGTGCACGCAATTGGCATCACGCACTCAACTGGCAAATTACGTTAGAAATCTAACAGAGAGAAGGCCAGCTCCCTCGTCTTCTTCCGAGGCCGTTGATGCCGTCTCGACCGAGGATTCGGCTTTCTCCGCCTCCATCAGCTCCGAGGTAGTGTCTGAGTCCCTGTCTCCGTTCCAGTCTTCTGAGAGCGTCTCCGAAGCACTGCCTTCAGCCACCACTGCGAGTCCCCACACCTCAGCAACCGCAGCAGATGACACATGCTGTTCTTCTTCTTGCTCGGACTTGTCGCAAACCGCATTGTTAGCAGATCTTTCTCCCTTTTGCGTAGCCCAGTGGGGCTTCCGCATAGGACAGTCGTTCCGATAGTGTCCTTGTTGGTGGCAGTAAAAACACTCACGCTCCGTCAGTGGAGCACATTGGTGTTTCTTTTTATTATCACCACGATGTCCTTTTTCTCAGTTAGTCTTGGTTACACGGCGAACGTTTTTTGGACTCGGGCCCCCGCTGAGTGACCGCGTTAGCCTCCGGCAAAGTAGGTTTCGTCTCTACTGGAGTTAATTGTGCGTTTCTACGTGCCGCTTCGGCCATGACGTTCGTTTCCATTGAAATCCACGCAATCAGAGTCTCCTGAATGTAGTAGTGGCTCTTGAAAGAGTCCCCCGACCTTGGCAAGCTGCTTAGCAGCTGGTCCACCTTCTCCGTGTCATCTACTGGCTTTCCTTGGTTGGAAAGACGACCAGCCAAAGTCTTTAGCCCGTTGATGTGTGTCAGCATGTCAGCTCCGTCCTGGTACTTCAGGGCTACAAACTGTTCACGAAGCGCACACAAGCATCCCCAGCTGCGCGGTTCATACGTCTTCTCTAGGTGCTCGAAGATCTCGTATGCGTAGCGCTTGTTGTTCACAGCCACCACCATTTCATCTGACAGCGTAGTCATAAAAAAAACAGTAGCTTCGTTCTCGCGATTCCAGAATACATCTTGGTCGCGAGGGTGAGCATCCCAGAGCGGTGGCAACTCCGCTCAAGTCACGATTTCCCAAAGTCTCTTTGCTTGGAGTAGGGTCTTCACGCGAGCCTTCCATGGAGCATAATTGTTCCCATTCAAGTTCATTTCCGAGGTCCACTTCATGATTACTGCACAGAGTCGCGTCGAGGGTCTTGGGCTCAAAACCTGTTGTTCTTAGCAGTTCACTTCAGTGATAAGCCGTACGAGGGAAGCAGGCGGTGCTCCCAGGAAGTTGTGCCTCATGTCCATTCAGCAAAAATAAAAGTGAGAAGAGCTTTGGTGGCAGCTTTGCTGCTCTCTAACAAGCTCAGCCTATCAAACTGCCTTAGTCTAACATTTACGCAAGCACTGCTACACAGATGCTTGTTGTCAAGCACGATCGCAAGCGTTAACCTGCAGCATTGACGTTGTAACGGGGTACGTAGCACTAAGTGTACCCTGGTTACATGAAGTGTGACACTTCACACTTCAGGAGTATGACATGTCATACTCCGGAATATTTGGTACAAGGTACCAAGGTCATTCAAAACCAACCATTGGTTAAATGACATTGCATTTCTATAGGTAACTGATAGTTTGTATTAACCACAAACTTAACCTACCTATAAATATACTCAGTTTACAATCTACCTTATTTAGGTCACTTCGCTCTCTTAATAAAGAGGGGACCTGTGAACTGCCGTTCACTGAGAGT